GTCCTGCAACTTGTAAACTCAGCATGCAAGGTAATTAAAGAGTCTTGAGTGTATTTATTTAAAAAATAATCTAAGCCCATTTTTAAAAGATACATAAGCATTGCTGCACTCAGTGTCATAATGCCTAACTGATTTAGGTGCCTAAATCCCATTTTCCAGGAATGATTTACACTCTTAGTACCATAATCGGATAGTTTATCAATGGAATTTTGGCTCCTGAGTGATCATTTTGAAAATCAGTTAGGCTTTATAACATTGGGTGCAGCAAGTTTAAATGCCTTTTAAAATCTGGTACATTGTGAATAAGGTGTGACTGGAAGGAGTATTCAGATTCACTGGAATGGAAAGTGGCTGGGAAACCTTATAGGGAATATATTAGACAGCAAATTGTCTGGAAAAGAAAAATGTACAGACTAGGAAAAATGGCTTCCAGGTAAGCTGCTCAACTATTTCAGGTTAAAATAAATACTCTTCCCTCAACACTGTAGTTTTGGAAAGGCAAGCAAACAAGAACTCACAGAACAGAGTGAACTCCCATTTAAAACTAGATGGTGATGATAGGAGGATGGAACAAGAAAACACTGAGACAATTAGGAAGCTCTTCATAACAGGCAGCTGAATGAATACTTGGAAATTGTGAACTTGCACAAATCATCTAACTCAGATGTCATGTACCACTAACTTTTGGTAATGAAAAGTGACAAAAACCTCTAGTCTGGGAAGTACTGATTGACTGGACATGAGAAGCAGTAATGCTGATATTTTAAATAGCAAAGAAGCGTGATCCTGGTAATTACTATCCTGCTAGTAAAGTGATGCTAATAATATGGGGGCATTATCAAGGGGCTAACAGGATCATGACCAATGGGCAATGTTCATTGTTTTAAGGCCACAAGGGACCGATGTTATCTAGTCTGACCCCCTGTATAACACAGGTCAAAAAAACCCATCTTATAATTACTGCATCATGTCCTTCTGTTTGAGTTAAAGGATCATTTCAAAAACATTCCATCTTGATTTAAAGACTTCATGTGAATAATTCACCACATCCATGGGCTTGTCCCAAGAACATATCTTACAAGAGAAACTTGATTGCTTTTTTTTTTCAGGACAGTTACAAAATCAGCGATGAAGAGAGGGATAGTTGTAAAATATTTACATTTTAGCAAATCATTTAAATTATGTCAGATTGAGGATTCAACCAGTCCATTATCCTATCTCTGTCAGAAACCAGAATCATGTGGGTTTAGGAGGAAAGTGCAAGAAAGTGTAATGGACAACTATGGAATAATGTGCCCATAAGATACATTTTTCCTCATCAGGGCAGCTACTGTTTGATTTATGCTCTTAGCATGAGAGCTTTGATATTACTTATATACATTTTAAATTCTACCTGTGCATTGATATTACTTATATACATTTTAAATTCTCCCTTTCCCCCTTCTCACTAGCCATTAAATAGCTAATCGTTTTTCGAATCTGACTCAGCCTCTGGCCTCTGATACCCTTTACCAATGAGTTCTATAGATTGACTATGTGTTGGGTGTTTTCTTTTTATCAGTTTGAAATGCCTTTCAATTTCATTAAATGTCCCTTCATTCCTGGATTATGAGAAATATAAATGCCAGTGCCTGATCTAGCTTCCTTAGCTCAGCCATTATTGTGTATAATCTCCCATTCTTATTCTCTCTAAACAAGAATCTTGATCTTTCCAATCTCGCCTCATCTAGGTTTTCCCTCCCCCCACCTGTAATCATTTTCACTGACAGCCTCTGGACCCTCTGCATTTCTGCTTTACCTTTTTGCAATATGGTTGGCAAAACTGAATAGAGTATTGCAGGTGACAGTGAGACCAAGGGTTTATATAATGGTATTATGAAAGTCTCAATATTCTTTTCTATCCTGTTCGCTAGGAATCCTGTTGGCTTTTTCGGATGTCACTGAACTGTGAAGAAAGCTTTTCAATTAATTCAGCCCTCGCTCTTTTTCTTGGTGATCCCACTTAATTTTGAACTTGGCAAAGTAAGTAATTCACATTGTTGCTTCCAATATGTTACCTTGTCTTGTTCAATAGTGAATTTCATCGGACATTGTGCCACCCGTTCACCCAGCTTTGTTAGGTCCCTCTGAAGTTCGTCAGAGCTCTCTAGATTGACTATTACAAATAAAGCTGTGTCACTTGCAAATTATGCCACCTACTCGTTCAGCCTTTCCATACCACATGGTCATGTCTGCTACAAAGCAGATCAACCTTCCGGAGGTCAATCTTCTAGAATTCCATTTATGGGTCTAATGGACCTGTAAATCGAATGTTGAGGGCAGCCCCCGCTGGCGTCTGGTACTCCTTGTTCTGTGGGGAATAAGGGAAACCAGCAGGAGCGTGTGCTCCCGTCAGCCTCCCGCAGTTTGGATGCTGCGGTGGTTTGGCTTAAGGTAAATTGAATCCAGGTACACACTTTGCATAGCTGGATGGTGTACCTTAAGCCGACCTGCCTGGTCTAGTATAGTCACTAGGCCCTAGAGATAAAGGTCTGTCCCATGTGTCAAGGAACTAGGAGAGGGCTAGTGAAACCAGGGTTCGATTCCCTGCTCTGCCATAGACTTTCTTGGATTTTAGGCAAGTCTCTAGTACCTTGCTTCCCCATCTTTCAAATGGGATTGATAGTACTTTCCTGCCTTAAAGGATATTATGAGGATAAAGACATGGAAGATTGTGTGGGACTCAGATGCCCCAGAAATGTGGCAATATAATAACGTAGATTTTAAATAAAGTGGGACAAAAATGGCAAAGCATTTGTCACACATTTGTGCAGGCAATTTTGCATCACTTTTCTATCAGAATAGCATTTTGCCAAGGGCTGCAATTTTCAAAAGAGAGTAAAGTACCTGATGAAACTGAATTGGAATTGTAGGCCTTCCTGACGCTCCTTGAAAAATCCCAACCCAAAAGTTTCCCACCTTTTCTGAACAAGCATAGCAGGTCCTAATACAGATCCTTGGTGTACCCCACTGTTAACCTTTCGCCATGCTAAAAATTGACCATTTATCCCTGTTCTTGGTTTTCTCTCTCTGACACTTCCTAAGCAATGTCAATATTTTACACCTGACCCTAACTACTTAGTTTTTTCAACCACCTCCTGTGAAATGCTTTCGGAAAGTCCAACTAAATTATATCTAATAGTTCTCCTTTTTCAACACTTCAATACATTTTCAGCTAAAAAAGCCACACTGGTAGGATTCCTCCCACAAGGGTACTGAGCTTAATTACAATGTGGTCATTGTTATTAAATAGCTTAACTATAGCTACTTTTTGACTGAACTCCTTTTGGTAACTTACGACTAAGTTGGGAACACTGTCTCCTTCTGTGTTGTCTAGAACTAGATGTTCCAAGAAATAACTCTTTTAACATGTTGATAAATTGCTTCTCGGTGGGGTTCAGCAAGGGAGTTTTGATAGGTCTCTTTTTATTCAATAACCTCACCAACAAAGTTGGAGGGGCAACTCTTCTATTGAAAGTCACAGGTAATAAAAATTGAGAGGAACAGTGAGTGCAAGGAAATCACAGTGACCTAGAGAGCTTGGACATAGATGGTAAATAATCAAATGAACTGGAAAAACACAAGCTAATATATCTGGGGAGAAATAATCTCAAACAGATATACAACAGGAGGAAGAAAAGCAAAAAAAGGATAAATTCTGAGACAGACTTTTGGGCAATAATAGACAACAAATTAGCCATGAGTTGGCAGGAAAATCTGGCAGCAGAAAAGATCAATTCCATTTTGGATGGCACATGCTGACACTTTAGAACAGAGGGAAGGGTGATCACAATGGTGTTCTCTTTGGTCTGGTGGGAATGGGCCTCCAATATTTTTTTCACACATGGGTTCTTCAGTCTCAGGCTTTAATTAAGACCAACAAAAATCAGTAGTGATTTTAAGGAAAATTAGACACAGATAAATGCACATAGCTTTAGCAAGCAAGGTGTACAGGGAGGAATTGCATCAGTCTACAAATATTTAGATGAGATAGGGCAACAAGAAGGATACAACTTAAAAAACAACAAATAGTCTAGTAGCACCTTAAAGACTAACAAAACACGTAGATGGTATCATGAGCTTTCGTGGGCAAAACCTGCTTCTTCAGATGACCGGAGTACAGTAAGTCGAGATCCAAGAATAAATTGGGGGGGGGAGAGAGAAGGAAGAAAAAAGAGAGAGACAGTTCAAATAGTTACAAGAGGCTGCTAAGAACCATTAGCATAAGAATTAAACTGGTGAATGAAGTTAAGTTCCAATTCTTCTGTGTATTTGGCTTGTAGAATTAGTCTGAAACAAAATGGTGATTTGGAGATCCATTAATGAGTGTCCAGGAAGATTAAAAGTGCCTTTTTGGATATCTGATTAGTGTCCATTAATTCTTTCCCGTAGAGATTGTCCAGTTTGGCCAATATACATTGCAGTGGGTATTGCTGGCATTTGATGGCATAGATCACATTAGTGCATGTGTAGTTAAATGAGCCTTTCATTTGGTGGCTGATGTCATTGGGTCCAGTGATGAAATTGTTGGTGTGTGTGCACAGTTTGCACCAGGGATGACTGCAGGGGTGGGTTCCTGGATGATGATGGAGGTGTGTGAAAATTCATTCTTACATGGTAGGAAATGTTTCCTTGAACTTCCAAAATCTGACTGTATATAGCCAGAGAAAAGGCTTATAAATTGCTTTTAAAGTGGACCAATCTTGTCTGGCAAGGCTGAATGCAGGTGGCAATCCTGTTCCTCATCCAAAGTGGAAAAGGATCCAGGTATTTCTCCATTTCAAGCATGCATGCAAAGTAATGTGCTTTAAATACCATTCTGTTTCACACTACAGAGCTTTAAAGAGAGGGAGTAGACAGCTGCAGCAGGAGAGGAGAGAGAAAGTCAGATAGGAAGGAGAGGGCAGGATGGGTGGTGAAAACAAGATAAAAAGAGAGTTAGGGCCAGAGTGGTTTCTTACCAGTCACCTCGTCCAAGCTCTCTTTAGTGAGATGGTCATTCTGGTTGACCCACTCGCCATTGCACTTGAAGTAAATCTGAGTGGCTGGGTTGGCTCTGCAGATCAGCTCCACGGGCTTGTTCTTTACGATGTATGCATCTTGGGGCTCCAGCAGGAAATGGGGGAGGGTCTCTGCAGGGGCTGATGGGAAGGAATCTGGAAGCACATCGCTGTACTCAATTCCTGCAAGGAAAGGGAGAGAATGAAGAAAGCAGTTACTCTGACTGCATGTGCTCCACTAATGCTTCCCCAAGCATCACCAGCGTCTAAACCTATCAGCTCTGCATTTAAGATTCAGACAATTTCCCTGGCATTGCTTGGGTCCTTAATCAATTGTTGTTGTTTTTTCCCATTTAAAATCAAGGGTGGGGAAACTTTTTTGGGTCAGAGGTGACCGACCCACAGAAAAATCACACAAGTAAGGATGGGGGATTCACACAAGTGAGAAGCAAAAAACAAAAACAACAACAAACCCTTCACTGATGTGGCTCCAGAACAAGAAGCAGAAAAGCAGGGGGACCCTCCGCATATTCCTCTTGCACCCCAGAGCCTAGGGGGCCCAGGCTAGTAAATTTTGTGTGCTCCAGCCCTACAGGGAGATGGCAGCGCAGGCTCCTCAATGTTGGGGGGAGCCCTGAGCCTCGGGGGCAAGATCCAGGCAAGCCGGGGAGCACATCTGGCCCCTTGGCCTTTGGTTCCCTACTAGGGTTGCCAGGTGTCCAGTTTTCTGCCAGACAGTCCGGTTTTTGGGGTCTCTGCCCAGTAGAAAAATTCAGAAAATACCAGACATGTGCAATGTCCGGTATTTTCTGAATTTCCATGTTGGGGGGAGCCCTGAGCCTCGGGGGCAAGATCCAGGCAAGCCGGGGAGCACATCTGGCCCCTTGGCCTTTGGTTCCCTACTAGGGTTGCCAGGTGTCCAGTTTTCTGCCAGACAGTCCGGTTTTTGGGGTCTCTGCCCAGTAGAAAAATTCAGAAAATACCAGACATGTGCAATGTCCGGTATTTTCTGAATTTCCAGCTGGGTGCCGGACGGAAGCCTGGCGGGGGCGGAGACGGGGGTGGGGGAGCAACTGGGAGGTGGGCCATGATTAGCACT